TTTAATGGTCAAGGGACCAAGATGAATGGTGCTAGAAAATTTAGCAAAAACAATAATTTGATTAGGTAATTTATTGGAATAGGTGAGACAGATTGTAAGGATACAAAAAGACATTTAGAAGGACAAATGTGATCAGTTGCCCCACTGTTTAGAATCCAATGGGAGGTATAAGAACTATCACCTGAATAAGTAGTTGAAGAAGTCTGAGTATGATTGGTAGAAGACGAAGTGTCCTTACTTTGTTGGAGATGAGTCATGAGGTTTTGATATTGCTCCTTTGATAAATGAAACTTATATCGATTAGAACTATCTCTCGAGGAAGAAGATTGTGAAGCAGTATCTGAGTTTACATTAGCTAAGCTAACCTAAGAAGTAGAACTGAAAATATGACTCCGATTAGATTTTCTATAGCTAGGAGGAAAATCAATACGCCAATAAAAAGTGTCATTGATTTTCTTGTAGTTTTCACAATATTTATTATGGCGACAAGTAAATTTGCTAAGGGAAGTATTGTTGGCAAAAACAGAGGGACCTTTGGTGGAAGTGGTGAAGACAATAGAATCTTGAGATGAATGAATTGAAGAAACACCAAGAAATTTTAGTTCATGTTGCAGAATCATAGAAAAATACTTGACAAGCGAAGACATGCGATCCATCATCATAATCTAAGATCGAACCTACGAATAGTTATCGATCAAACCACGAAGAAAGCGAATGACACTCACATTCTTTCTAAAGTTGGAGAAAAGAACACAAGAATAAGAAAGAGAACAAGTGCAAGAAAGAACTCAATGATACATTTTGATTTCTTTCCACAGATCTTCAAGCTTGTAATTTTGATTTCGATTTTAAAGGTCAGCAATCTGAGATTTATTAACATGCGAAAAATGATCCTTAAGATCTTACCAGATTTTAGCTGCAATTTCCATCTACATCACTGAATGTTTGATAGCGAAAGTCATGGATCTCGCAAGCCAGGAAATCACCATGTGATTACAACGACATCATTCATTATGCAAAGAATCAGATTTTGGAGGACAAAATAAATCGTTTTGTGATAAATTTTTCTTTGTTCTTGGTTTCTAGAGCGACCACCATTTCACTTTCTCATTGGTAGTAATCTGTCTTAGTAAGATGCACAAAAACTAGGACGAGTGCTGGGTTTTTTCCAAGATGAAGATAGAAAAAATTGGTAAGATTAATAATGTGATCCGATGGTTTGTTAAGAGAAGGATTTTGGCTAATGTAAGCCATGATTGATAAAAAATAGAGAGACAAAATAACTATTTATGAGTCATTATATAAAAGAAATACTTAAAGCCTTTATTGACCAACGCACAAAAACGAACAAACAAGATACAAGAGTATATATATATATATATATATATATATATATATATATATATATATATATATATATATATATATATATATATATATACCATAATAACATAGAAACAAGAAGAAATTGGTATAACGAAAAACAATTTTATATAAAAACTTATATCCCTAATATTCACATACAAAATAACATATTTATCATACAAAAAACTAATATTAACATACAATTATAAAAATAATTTACAAATAAGTGCAATCAGCAAATTGAATTTCTTTGAATACTAAACTTCAAATTCTCTCAACATTACTCTATCTTTCACAAATTATCTATTCACTAATACATATATGAATAGTGAGTTGAACCAATTTTGTGTCACTTGACCCAAGTGAAATAAGGTTATCCCATAACATATGTGAGTATTAATTTCACTTATTCACATATAAGCTTAAGTAAAATTGATATCTTTGTTTCTTTTACCATTCGATGAGACTGAAAATTGGACAATAGGTTTGCTACACATTGCTTTTTATTTTGAAAGTTAACATTAACGCTTATAATTCTATGCTTAGATAAATCAATTGCAAATTTTGATTCAGAGGTTTAATGTTGTTATTTCTAGTTAATTCTTGCAAATTGAGAAAATATTTTCAATATATAGTTTGATATTATTGATTATTGTGATGTTTGTTTTTTCTAACCAAATGGCATGATAGAAAAAACAATAACACAATAACAAAAAATACCAAAATAATGCAATGAAAATAATTTTTTCAATTTATATAATAATAAAATGACATTAATAATCATATTTAAACCCAAATATTTTTAATGACAATAACAAATAAACACATAATTTTACCATGAAATAATCCTCTGGTGTTATAAGTAAAAAATCATTAACATAAGTTAATCAATCAAATATATGATCAAACAAGATTATAAGAAAATCTAATCTAATATACAAATATGTGTTTACAATCTATCGTTATATCAAAGTAATAAAACATTTAAATTATAGGAAAAAAAACCCTCAAAAATAGAGTATCCGTGTGAAATTAATTTTTCCAACCACATATTTTTAACCCATGATCCTAACTATTAAAACGAAAACACATTGTCAATATTGTATTTAATTTTCAACAAGATATGTCAACAAATGGAACAATTATCATAATTTAACTAAAATTTATATGTAAATATGCCAAACAACCTTTTTCCTCTTTCCCTCTTTTTTTTTCTCTTCTCAAAATATTACAAAATTAATACTCACTCTTTGACTAAAAAATCTCCATCAACCGAACTTTAAGAGAGAAAATGGTCTTGAACTTAGAAAGTTAAATTTTTTTGACACATAAGTAAAAGTAAAAAAAAAAAAAAGACTAATATGATTTATAAATATAAATTTAAAAAATTCTTACCAATGTCATAGGTGACAAGTAATTTGGTCACAAATTTTTGACAAATTTAATTAACATAAATAAACAAAGTTATGCAGGTAAATTTGAAAGCAGTAGATCATTACAGCAGGGAAAATTATAGCTCTCTACTGCTTCTGTCAGATATTCATTGGGTTCAAGATATCTCCTGCATTAGCTTCAAAGATTTGAGTAATTGAGATTTACTTCACTTATTCATACCTTAGAAAAATGATATGATAAAAAATTTGTCACTTGTACAAATATTGTGATATTGGAATGTGTGAATTTAGTCCTTGTGACTTGAAGGTCAAGTTAATGTATCACATACATGACATTAACCAATGAAAATACCAACTCAATTAACGTTATGCAATTCTAAAATTTTCAAAAAGATGTTGTTAATGTCAAAAACTAAATTTGTAGGATCTATAATTTGAGAGACCAACTTAGACATTTACTCTACTTTTAATCATGTTAGTTTAATAAACAAATTAAATTGAAATCGTAAATCTCTAATGAATTTTCTTAGCCTATTCACACTATAGAACCAGTTTTCTCGTTTTTATCTTGTCATGACATGGAACAATATCAGCTACAAAATAGTTGTTATTTTGATAAGTGTTTGCAAGTAACACTGAAATTTGTGACATAATAAAATCAGATAACATCTTTTCTCCCTCTACTTACAATTAAAAATCTCTTACGACGAGATATGTATTCACTTTTCAATGGGTTGACGATTGTATACTTACACCTCGTCTCAATCTCCTTGTTTCCATAATCATGTAATAGCAGACAACACTTTTTATTGCATTATCAGCACAAACACAAAGCACTACTCTTTGTTTCTTCACCTTTCTCTCATCACATAACAAACAACAAAATTATCTAACCACCATCAAAAGCAATTAACTTATTCATATACGCCAATTTATGAATCAATTGAATACACAGTCCCCATATGATCAAACAATGCTCAAAGGTCACCATGCACTTGTGTTCTTCCATTTTATTTTATTTTATTGTGCTTTGGAGATTTAGAAGGGACTCCTTTTGCATCAGCCTTATCAAGGGTGACTGTGCAACCACTCTATTTTTCTCTCAAATCTGCTTTGCTTTTGGCTGGAGACCTAGTCAGACAATGCTTTTGATTACGTTGAAACTTGAAAGGAGAGAAGGCAGATTAAGATTATGACTATGCTATGCCACATGGGTTGTCCCACCGATGTTGTCTAAATATTGGAAAATTGAACAGGGGTTGCATATGACTGGTACAGAGCATAAACTTTATGTGAAAAAGAAATGGCCAAAGCCAATAACCAAAATAAACTTTTTTGGTCCTACTCAGCTGAATAAATTCTTCTCAATTTCATCTATCCCTAATGGTTTTTGCTACCCGACGAATACTGATTTTAGTAAAAATACCACCCACAAACTTTTAATCGTTATTAGGTACTCAAAAGCTTACAGTAATCCATATTTCCACCGATCTCATCCGAATTAAAGCCAAATCATTTTCTTTCTTGGATTAGTTAAGAATATGAATATTCTTGTAAATAGAATCCGAATCAAATATATAAATTATTTTTTTTTATAAATTATTCAATTTTCTGATTTTTAATTTTCAGTTTTCTCCCTCCTTTTCTTATTAGCCTCTTTCATAATTTATAAAAGTGGTCATAAATAATTTATGTGTGTTTCGTTACAAAGTTGAGTCTTTCGTGCATGGTTTTTTAGGGCCAAATTTTCCATATCAGAATATAATATTCACTGCCCGAACACGTGGTTTTGTGCTAAATGGAATCCAAAATCACAAGCCCTTACCGAGGAACATGTGCATAAATCATTCTCTAAGTTGAAGGGCATGGTGTCCCAGCAATGGCCATGCACATTTATATAAGGGCTTTGGTAAAGATAGAGAGATTCTCCATAGTGTTATCAGACCAAAGGTTTCCAACTCAATCCTTCGTGACAAAGTAACATCATCATCATCCAATCTAATATGATATCTTTTTCTTTTTTATCATAACAACATGGTCGTCCTTCTTTTTTGACACCTGTTTCTCCCCTTCTCACTCATCACCTTTATCTTCAACACCCCCCCCCCCCGCCTCTCTGGGCTTTTATTCATACTCTATGTCATTCACATACTTACATGTCTTTAAAGCACTACTGCTGCATGAATCACACTGAAATCCTAACCAGGTCATTCTTCTACTTTCCAATTACACTCTCTGATAATGGCCAAGGAAGCTTCTCTGTGCCTCTTGTTTCTCTCCTTTCTCATTATCTCCTGTTCTGGTGAGTAACCGACACTGATATGTAATATCTCAGAATAGTAATCGTATTTATTCCTGTGAATATTCTTGGCACAAGTCCAAAATTAGCCGTTTCTCCTTTGTTTGCTAATTTGTTTCTGAATCTACAACACTTATTGTGTTCATAATATTGTGATTCTCTTGTGTCACACACCTTGCAGGATCTCTTGTGGGTATTTCCTTCCGCGAGAGGGGAGACCCTTCGAAATTTGCTACAACCATATCATTCCTCCAGCAAAAAAACGTTTCCTCGTCTCAGATTCGACTTTTTGTTACAGATCATAGGATTTTGAGCACTCTCAGCAACTCCATCGTGCCAACTGATTTGTACTTGAACAAAAGTCAAGTTCAGAGTTTCATTACTTCAAAGCCCTCTGACCTAAAAGCTCGTCTACTTAACCTTCTCCCTCACTCAAACATCAAAAGCATCATTGCTAGCTGCGGCAGTGAGTGCTTAGCACAAAATGAGATGCCTTTGTTCTTGCATGCTCTGAAATCAGTTGGTTCAGTGCTCAGGGAGCTTCACATAGCGAGGGAGGTAAAAATCTCAGTAGCATTTTCACTTTCATTCTTAGAAAAGTTGAAAGCACCGCATGAAAACAGTATTCGTAAGATTCTTTCATTTATAAGGGAAATGAAATCCTTTGTCATGGTAGAAGACAGCATTGATGGAGAATTAAGCATGGAGAGTCACTCTGTTCATGCTATAATCAAACGAGCCACTCTTGCTGCTTCGATTCTTCCTTGCAAAGATGTTCCTATTGTTTTAACAATCAAGAGCGCAGTTGTCCCCACTTCAATGGAGTTAGCTCAATTTAGTGAGAGGGTATCCAAATATCTAGAAGCAAAGACTCATATTACAAAAAGAATAGCTGCATTATATGCAGAGGTGCATTCAACAGAAGATTTTGGAAGTAAAGGATTTAAAAGGGAAGAGGAAAAACTGTTTCCTGTGTCCCGCAGAGAGATGCTTAGTAAATCCCATAAAAGGAGAAGTCTAGATGATACAACAAGCCCAACAAACACAGTTTTCCCAACAAATCCAGCATCATCCATACCAATCATCACGCCCCCAGATACACCAACCATCATCACAGTTCCTGCCACAAATCCTGTCACAATTTCCCCTTCCAATCCTGCTGGAATGCCTGTGACAGTTCCTTCTACCACGCCTGTACCTTTTCCGCCCACAAATCCAGCCAATACACCAGTACCAGTGAGCAATCCAGCTACAACAACACCTGTAGGGATACCACCCCCAATAAACAACCCTGTGACATCTTATCCACCTCCATCAGGAAATGTTCCTGTCACAAATCCCCAACCTCAACCACCTCCTGCAAACACTAATGCTCCTGCCATTCAGGGGCAGAGTTGGTGTGTGGCAAAGCAAGTAGCTCCTGAAGCTTCTCTTCAAGCTGCACTAGATTATGCTTGTGGAATGGGTGGGTCAGATTGTTCTCAAATTCAGCAGGGTGGGAATTGTTACAGTCCAGTTACTTTGCAGAACCATGCTTCTTTTGCCTTCAACAGCTACTACCAAAAGAATCCAGCTCCAACAAGCTGCGACTTTGGAGGGACTGCCACCTTAGTTAACACAAATCCAAGTAAGATCTTAAATTCTTAATAGTTTTAGCAACCCATATTTTTTATTATTCTAAGATCCTTTTGGAAGAACACATACAAATTTATCCAAACAAAACCTTAATCTTATCTTCTGACATAAGAATTTACACTGATATTTGAGAGAGCTTAAGAAAAAAAAGAAGAAGAAGCTTATGACACGTACATATAGCTATTCCCATCTTACTAAAATAAGCCTTTCAAGATAACTGCTCTTCAGACTTATTTATAAAAGGAAACTTATACGTAAGTAATTATATGATAAGTCTTCAGTTTAATTAAGCTGTTTACTTAAACTGACAATTTTAGACGAGTGGTCATTTTTAACTTGCTCTTCTGAACTGTGAATAGGCTCGGGTTCATGCATTTTCTCCTCCTCATCATCAACAACAACGCCAAAGTCATCATCCCCAACACCACCTACACAATCAAGTCCAACACTACCACCACCAAGTCCAGTAACACCTGTATCATTAATTCCAACAGCACCACCAACAACACCAGTAACTGGTCCTTTTGGGTAAGTGAGACAACAAGTTTTTTAATGGTTTCAGTAACTCTAATGCTCCATTAAGCATACTAATAATGCTACCTTTTTGCAGATATGGTACACCACCTTCAGTGTTAAATTCAAGCAACCCCGCGTCAGGTACAATGCCAGATTTTGGGTCTGAAAGTCCTCCTGTTGTAAATACAACGTCAACCTCTCATTCTCGGAGTTTGAGACCTTCTGTTGCCTGCATTGTTCTGATGGTATCATTTGTCACTACGAGACTCAGTATGCACCCATAGAGTTCAAAACAAGATTTCCATTTGGATCATAGTATGAAATGCTCAATAGTATCTCTAGCTATACGTTGGAGTTGTAATGTAGCATTAGGTTCAGAAAGCTGTTAGAGTAAGAACGGAACAAAAGAAGGCTAAGTGATTATGAGTGATGTGCTAAATTTAGGTTAGATGAAGGCGAGGGAATTTGTAACGTGGAAATAATGGCTGCTGTATGGTATCTAGGTTGTACAACAGACTATGATTAATATTGGTCATGTACATAGGTTTTGAAAGCTTCTAGTTCGTTTCATTGTATGGAATTTGTAGTCCAGTGTAAATTGGTCAGAGTTGTTTTTGAAATTGGTCTTCGTGGATTATAATTCAACAAAGAAGTCCCACTTCAAATTCTAGGAAGATAGTCAATTATGTTTATGAGACACACACTATGAAGATTAAGATAAATGGATTATCTCTCCAATATATAATGCATTTTGTGGGTGCACAGCCTGAAAGAAGTTAATCAAACCTTAGTTTAGTATTATCTCTTCAAGATTTTTAATGTTGCAGTGTTGCTTCTTTTTATCTCTAATGTCTCGATGGCTGGTGTAACTTGAATTTCCTTTCCAAAGGTTTTTTCTTTGCTTTCTTGGCTTTCCATGCTTCCCCCATCTATTTCAATTACTAAAAGCAAAGATAAATGGATGGCGGTTCTTATCATTTATACAGCAAATCATGAAAACTAAGATTATAATTGATAAGAGTAATGATTAATACAAAACTATGCATTCAGCATCCACTTATATAGATATGTGGATAATTTAATTATACATGTTTGTGTGTGTGAGAGAGAGACATCATGAACCTAAAAAAATTTGTGTATAATTAGGTTCATATACTATTAACTACCTATAAGATCGAGTGAAGTAAACTGGTACACGTGGTTATCGAGTGTGAAGGTCAATAATTACTAAGATTGTTAATGGTTTTAAACAATTATATTTATTTACTCTTAATTACCTATAAGGTAACTGAGTAACAGGAACTAAACAATTTTAAAAAGGGATTATATAATTTGGTTTCCATTTTAATAATAATTCAACCGAAATCTAAAAGTTAACACAGAATTTTATCAAGTAATTCTTTGGGCTTTTAAAAGTTTTTCATAGAAGGCCGTTCCATTGAAATTGAACTTTTGATAGGCGCATATGAGAACATTCTTTTCTATTATACACAGGAATTAACACTCATGAACAATTTATAAAAATTCTTCAATAAACTAAGTTAGACTCACAACAATTAAAGGTTTAATAGTTTAAACACAATTAAATTAAGAATATTAAATAAAATTATTTTAATTTTCAATATAATATATTAAACATGGTTAAAAAATATAATATCATGATATTTATACCAAGATTTTATTTGAAACACAATTTAATTCATTAAAAACACCTTAGATTGAATGTCAAAGAAAGTATTAAAAAGAAATATTATGCAGGTGTATGTTATTATTACTCAATTTTAATGTAATATTTTTAAATTACATAGTTATTTTATTAAAAAAATAATTATACTGACTATTAAATAAATTTAAATCAATTAATAGATTTATACCTATTAATAAGGTATATATTCAAAGTAAATTTTAACAAACTTACAAAGTGTTATGTATTAAACTATATAGATTGAAAATAACTTACATCAAGAATAGATTAAACTTTAACCTAAATTAAAAAAATTAAGCTAGCCAATAAATCAAAGACATCTAACAGCAAATTGTTATCATGAATGCATTGGATGCCAATCCTAACGTTGGAGATCATTCAGACCAAGAAAATGACGAGGAATCACTAAAACAGAAATAAGGCGAATCCTCCAAACCAACCCCTCCAAAAGCATTGACTTTTAAAGTGACGCATGTGAGCCACTTTTCTTATATCCAAAGCAGACTAGACATTTGCCAGCAGGGCATTACCTATAGCACATTATTAAGTGGCTGTTTTTTCATAATTTACTCTTTTTCTATACAAATGAGTGCGAACGAGGTCCACCACAGCCACCATCAGCATGGTAACTGTATGGTCACGTTAAAGATCCATCACATCACTTTCTTTGCTGAGAAATGCATGAACTAAGCTCAACTGGCCCTACAAATAGTAGTAATGGGGCCATAAATGTGTAAACGCAACTACTGTGTCTGCAATGTATTTTCTTGAGCAGCGGAAAAATTGTGATCCTCATGCTACGAGTACATACTGCACAAGCTAAAGCTACGTTATATATAAACTGCAATTCTACAGCCCAAAAAGGCTTCTACAATTTCTCTAGTCTGCTATAGTATATAGGAAACCCTCTTTATATACAATAATTGTTTTGGTTTCAGGAATGGTTTCATCGCCTTGAAAATACCACCAAGACCAACATGGACATAGAGACCACGATTTTGAAGCCGGATGTGTCCCAGAAATTCTGATTTTGCTTTTCTGCACCCACAACTTCTCTTTGTTGCTTTGCCGCTAATTGATCTCTCAGTTCTTTAATAGCTTTGTCCCGTCGCTCACCCATCTGTTTACAAACCCATACAATGAAACATGAGATTTGATTAGAAGATCAGTAAAAAGGGTATAAACTTCACTAAGTTGCCTGAGTGAGGAGGTTAGATGATGTAAGTAAATCACACAGCATCGCATTATTACATGAAAAGTCGTGAACAATGGTCCAGTAGAAGATAAGAAAATGGAATCTCCTTCAATATCATGTTTCACTCTTTCATGGTTCAATGCAAGTTCTAGGCTAAAATAATCAAAGCATTTGATCAAATAAGTCAAACCAAAATTCCAAAAGAAGAGCCAAGATAGACCAATTCAATTATTTTTTGTATATGACAAGAACAAAAAGTATCTTTTGAGCCAGAAGTGCATGCCTGGGTATTGCTTTTTGTAGGAAGAAGTTTTATCAGTAAATATGCAATTATTTCTTCGATAAGTTGAGCCAAACACACTTTGTGAAATAGCTAAATTTACCCTTTGGAGTTTTCGTGTTTGGGAACGAGCTTCCTGCAGACAGAATTCTAGCTTCAACACCTTCTTCTTCAGCTCCTGATCAGTACGCCGCTGTTTCTCCAACTGCAAGTTAAAACACATCAATGCCATTAAATACATTAGTAGCCAAGCACCTCAAGAAAGGACAAGTATTAGAGTACGTACTCTGATAACAAGAAAACACGAATAAATGAATGAGTATAACACACACTGGCAAACCAAGATAGTTTTACCTGTGACTCTAATTCCTTGGTCTTGAGCTTCCAGTGAGCGGACATGATCTTAATTTCATCCTTAAGTTTTGCTATTTCCTCATCCTTAGCACCTAGAAGCTTATTCATCTTCTCAAAATTTTTAGGAGAAACCTCATCTAATATTTTCCGCAGTTCACAATTCTTGTTCTCTCCGGCTTTTGCTAGAGCCTCCATAATATCGTGCTCAATTCTCAAAACTTCATCTTTCAATTGCTTTTGTGAAGATTCCCTTGCCTGAAGATCCTTCTGTAAATTGTCTAGTTGCTCCCCCAGCCTTAGGACACGATCCTCGTGCTCTCTTAGTGAACCATTTTTCTTATCTAATTCTTTTATAAGTTCTAAACATTGGAGCTGCGCTGATTGAGCTGATGCAGCACTTGCGTCAGCAGTTTCCCTCGTTGCTACAAGCTGTGTTCTAAGGTCATCCAACTCCTTCAGATACTGTATCAAGAGTACAAATATGTTGTAAGTAAATGATACTCAGACTACTATCCGGGATGGTTTCGCTTTCGAATTTATGTTTTAACTTACAGATAAACAATCAACCAGAATGTATTGGTTTTAGAATGTTTATAAAGCAACACACAGGCTTTTAAAGTAATCAGAAACATGATACATGCTTGAAGATATATGGAAAAAAACGTGTGCCGCCTAAAATGCTGAATTTACATAGCACCTTCGTGTGCTGAAATTCATTTTGTGTGTACCATGTTCTGTGATCCGTTAGAGAATACCCCGGAGGTCAAGGCATAAGCAATATGTAGTGTTTCAGTTTATGTACAAATGATTTGTCAAATTCTCCTTTACTTAAGAGTAATGATACCGTTTTGTAAACTCTTCACTCGGGTGGCTCAATAAAACTCTTTCATCAAAGAGTAACAACATCTATTTAAATGTTAAATGCATAATTGTATATCCAAAATTGATTACTTTAAGAATAATGTGTAGTATACTTGTGTTTCAATTATTATCACATAAATGGTTAAATTATTTTGCTGGTTCCTGATTTTTTTTTTAATTAGGTCCTTCAACTTGAATTTAACTTTTAATTAGTCTTCTCCATTTTACTGTCGTTACAGAAAATTAACGACAAACACGTAATAAAGATTGTTGTACATGACTAGTGTTTTTGATGTGTGTTGCAAGCACAAATAGTCATTTATAAGAGTTTTCTAATCTGGGTTAAAGTTCATCTATAGAGGTTGAAACTACGTGAAAGAATGATTGGGTTGTGACTTCATCTATAGAGATTTGAAACCATGTACAAAAATCTCACACTCTATTGTGCTTACAACAAACTGTAAAAGCATAACTCCCCTGACTGATTTATCGTTAGATATAGTTTATTTTATGTAACAGTTATACAGAAGGATCCAATTAAAAAGAAAATACAAGTTTAAGGCTACAATTGAAAAAAAAAAAAAATAAAGACCTAAAAAATTTCCAAATTATTTATGAGGATACGGAGTAACTTAATTTATATAAAATGAGATTCTGATCTAACACACAGCAATCCGTGATATACAAGCATTTATGCCAAATGTTCAGAATAAATCATAAAATTTTTGCCATTACTAGATAGAAAAGCGATTATTACCCATTTATTCCACGTTACATGTTGACACCTACTTCTACCCATTTAAAGTGCACCAATTGTAATCCATTGCTTAGCAATAAACTTTATTTGTTGAACCTAACGAAGTGAATAAACGATATCCATTATGAAGGAATTTAGAAATTGTGACGCTCTACAGTAAGTTTGGTGCATTAAGAATGAGTTCTCATTGTATAGAACCACTATTCATTAGCTTTATTTAATATTAGTTAGATAGATGTCCAATTACTAACGCCATGCAACACGAAGTTGTTCTAGCACATTCAGTGCCACTTGAATACATTAGTAATTTCTTTATGTCTTTCCAAGCAAAACTGACATAAAATTATTTATATCAGCGATTTTCCAACAGTATGGACTAATCTCCACGTCAAAGTTAATTTTCGTAAATTTATAAATTTTAGTTAACAGGGCAATAACTATTGCATAAACATGCGGCATGACAATTATTGAAGAACAATCCACACTAGAAAGGGTTCATAATAATAATAGATCGGTGGGATCCGCTAAAACGAAAGACATCTAGTAAAAAACCCTAAAAGATGAGTATAAAATCTAGCAAAATCAAGCAAAAGACACAATTAGCGAATAATAGTGGGAAATTTAAAGATAATAATCAAAGGTTAACAATCCTAATTAGGCTACTAAATAAGATCAAGAGATATGCTACTAAATAATGGTAAATGATAATAACTAATGGTAAACTCTAGAGAAAGAGTAAACCTTCTCAGTAGTGGAAGCTGAAGCCTGAAGCTGCTGATTTTTTTCTTCCAAATTCTTCTGCAACTTGCCTATTTCCAATTCCATATTCTTGGCATTTGTCTCTGCTTCCTGTGCAAGAAAATACATAAAAAATTTGCTGGACCCAAAACAATTCAATGATATTCCCCTGACCCCACGACCCCAAACACTAAAAAGGGTAGAGATGATTGACATCAAAGTTGTAATTTTTCTAGCACGGCCAAAAAGAGAAAGAAAAAAACGAAACGAAAATGGTTATATTGAGGGTAAGAATAAAGACACATGAAACAAACCAAAATGGCAACAAATCCCGTACCTGTCTTGTTAGAGTTTCTTTGGCATACGATTTTTCCTGCGACGAAAGACGACTACGAAGCTCCTTCAACTCCGCCGCTAACGACACCACGTTGCGCCTAAAACTTTGCTTCTTTTCATTCAAATCCTGTAACGACGAACCAACTTCTCGAGCAGCTGTAGAGGATGTCAACGACGAAGACGGTTTCTCAGACATGAAAACTCGAGATTTTTCAACGATTCCAGCAATGAAAGTGCACAAATAAGTCGTATGCACCAAATCAGATCCTATGGACCAGGGAGAAGCACTTCACGGACCTTGAAATGAAAGCAATTAAAACTTCATTCCTCCATGTGAACATGGTAGTTGAACATTTAATTTAATCAGAACCATACCCAAGGAAGAAAAAATAAATAAATGAAGTAGGTAAATAAACAAAAAAACAACACTAATATAAAGTAGCTAAGAAAGTACTGGATCTTCTTTACACGAAAAGGTTACTAGATTCAAATTCAAAGTAGCGCTCTAAAAATTGATTCCAATGAAATTTCGATAATTTTTTTTTTCTGGCAGTGGTTCCACCAGGCATCCTCTCCCTCCATAATTGTGAGGAGAGAGAGAGTAGAAGCGGTGACCAGCCATGGGTCTATCAGTCATTGTCGAATAAAAATAATTTCAATAATAATAAATAGGATCAAGGAAGAGACGTGATCGAAATTAAATTTTGTGTCTGCTACTGCAAACGAAGTTTCACAATAATTTGAAGCAAATCCTAAACCTATCATATCAAATTAAACAGCAACTCTCAGCATAAATGAAGAGAAATTTATCGAACTGATCCACTGAAGAAGGAAATAGCTTACATACCAGATTCTACGTCGAATCTTCAGTCTGCTTGTGTCGAGACTCTCTATCTGTTCTGATTCGGGAGGAGATAGTAAAGCGGAGAAACTGAATTGAGAAGGTGAAAGGATAGAAATGAAATGAGTTGAGTAACGAAACGAGTAATGGGAATCAAAGAGTCATGTCGCAACTTCACTACTTTTATATTTTAATATTTTAATTTTCTTTATAATTGTTTCTTGTCTCGTCTGCGAGTAAGAGTTGGCTGGGTTTGCGCGACATGTCCGTGTCTCACGCATGAACCATCCTAGGTTCGGATTTGGATGTTCTCTTACTTTATTAAATAAAATGAATTGGGAAAAGGATAGAGAACAAGGAAAAACTCGGCTTATTGATTGATATGTTAAAAAAATATTAAAATTAGATTAAATAATTAATCATTAGCATATGGGAGTATTGAATTATTAATTATTGAACTTTAATGAATAAAATGTTTGATTTGTGTAGGAAGCGGAAGGCATTATTAGGTTGGGAGTTTCCGAAGCTGGGATTTGGTGTGATGACAAATTCCGAAGCTACAGCTGGGATGGGTAATTGATTGGGTTGACCTAAAAAGCGTGAGCGCGGCAAATACAAATTTGAGGGTGGATGTATGTATTATGGTTTTGAAACGCGTGGATGTGTGTGAGGTTTTGGGTGCATACATTTGTACGTGAACCCTGAATGCACACTGAACTATCACACGCGATTTTAAGATTTGAATTTTGAATTTCAACATCATCTATTTAAGCCATTCATCTGCAATCTATAACATATACACTTAGAACCATTCTCATTTTTATTATTTTATTTAAAGAAAAATTATACCATAATAAAAAATATATATATTTCTCTTTTATTCTTATTATCGGATTCATGTTCTCTGTTCTCTGTACTTCATTTTTTCACAAATTCATGTAATAAATTATTTTGAATATAACATGAATTAATTTAAAATAAATTACATTAATCACTCTTTGGATTTTGTAGATTTATATAAATATATCCAGCTTTTCAAACATTTACAAAAAATATGTAATAACTTATACTTATTTAATTAATTTCAAGTTGTTGTGTTAAAAATACAAATAGTCACAAGACTTTTAATAAACTATATAATTACGTTCACTAAATAAATATTTTTGCATTCAAACTGGTTACTAAAATTGTTACATTTACTAGTTTAAAAAGAAAATATTTTATATGTAATTTTTATTAACTCTTAATCTACATTATTTTTTTTCTTATATTTTTTAAGTGGTTATACAGCATAAGTTAAATGTTATATATTAATATATAAACAATGAGATTTTAAAAAATTGAAAAAATTATTTGATTTAATTTTAATTTTAATTTTAAAATATTTTTTATAAATTAATTTTAAAACAAATTATTTAGGAATATTTTCGAAATAAATATTATTTGAAATATATAATTTAAAAATGATTTTAAAAAATTTATATTTACTATAATAAATCTAACAACAAAACTATAAAAATTTAACTATAACCATAATTAATATTTATACCTTCAAAAAATATAATAAAGATATATGAATGTTGCTAAAAATAAAAGCCAAACAAAATATTATTAGGTTTTGGCCTATTTTTATTTAAATCTAATCTTATATTTGGGTGTCCGAATATGAAGGCAAGTCCTAAGACGATTCGTTTAACTCCGTGAACCTCGTGGTTTTCTGAAATATTTTTTAAATCTACATAATATTTATTTATTTATTTTCATACCTTGTATGTTAAACTTGCGAATTTTGCGGACTAATCCACGTAATTACATGAAACTTACGTAAATATATTTTATTTTGTAGATTTTTGTTTAATGTATTTTATCTTAACAACTGAAAGAAGAATAAATAAAATTATTTGAAATTGATTGATTTTTCATTTTTTTGAATTATTATTTGAGTTTGCTGATTGGTGCATTTAAAACGTGAACTTTGGAAATTACACTTTAAACAAGCATACGGTCCTATACTTATTGGATCCAAATCGTTCTTCCAGGAAAAAGAAAAAAGAGATAACTTATTCAAAAATTAATAATTTACTTAACCCCCTCTGTTCAATTCACTGTATATAATTAAATGTCAATAATTGAATTTTTAAATGATTTTTCAAACTTAATAAAAAGAACTAACAACTTGGTCACTTAAACAAAAATGGAGACACGATATAGTTTAATTTGGGCCTCATATCCGTTGTCCTACCACAAGTAACTCGTTTTAAGATGTGTTCGGCCCATAGAAGGCCTGGTCTGGGCTTTTACTCTTTATACATATTAAAAATATTCATTTACTATAAGAGTTGCATGATTTTTTGTTTGTTTTAAGATTAAATATATAATGTTTTAATGGGAGGAAACAAGGTAAATGATTATGATAAATAGTGTAAAAATGTTTCAAAAATGCAACTAATCATAAAACCAATTAAGACACCCAAGATTTGTAGGTCGTAATAATATAATTAATAAAAGGAAATTTATAATTAAAAAACATTATTCATTTGAAAGATATTTATTATATATAATTTTACAAAAATTGAAATGATTATAATATTTTATTAACTTAATTATATTTTTAATTCTTAAAATTTAAGATTTAAAAAATAATAATAAATTGAATTTCAAATACAATATGCTCATTCTGGTTAAATAACAGTATATATATATATATATATATATATATATATATATATATATATATATATAATTATTTTAATAAGTTATATATTTAACTTCATAATATATATGTATATACTAAGTTAAGTTATTTAAAATAATTTGTAGAGTTTATTAATTCATGTTAATGTTATTCAATTAAATAAATAATTTAGGTTTAATATGTAATTTATATCTACTAAATCGAATTATTTCAAATAACTTTGGAAAAAAATTATGATAAATTTATTATTTAATGTAAATATTATTTAAATCATGTTATTATATATAATATATAAATTAATATATTTATTTAAAAGTATCATATTATTTAAGAGATAATTAGGTATTATTTATTTTAGAATTTTAATTCATCATAATTTTATTCTTAACTAATGAATTAAGAGAAAAATTATATATATAAATTAATATCAACCTTGATGTTTAAGCAATTATAATATACTTTCTCTTTTAATAATTAAGAGATAGAAATAGATTAAAATTTTATTTTCAAGAATATCAATATTTTATTTCATAAGGTCAATTTCTTGGTTTCATATTCAAAAGGTTAATAATAAATATTTGACGAATAATTTTAAGAATTTAAATATTATATTATTAATAAATAATAAATAAATATAAAAAAATAACAATATTAAAATTTAAAATATAAAAAAAATATTTAATGATAATTAAATCTAGAAACTAAAATTATGAATATATATATATATATATATATATATATATATATATATATATATAAAATAAAAAACATGAATCTCAATTTAAAAAAAAACTCAATCATAATTTATTATAATAATATAATTAAATCTATTATTACAAGTTGTTAATTTTAGATTTTTAATATATCTGGAGTTGTTAAAACGATGTTAGAGTGGATCATATAAAGAATTTCATAGTTCATTAAAGAGTGTAGAACAAATCTTTTAAGATTTGATTTTTTTTCATTGTATATCTAACCTTTTTGCAACAACAAGTGTTAAGGTATATTAATTACATTTCTTTTAAGTTACAGGTGGGTGATTATTAATAACTATTTAATTTTTCTATCAAGTAATAACTTATTTTTTAGTTTTCTTGTAATTTTTTTCTTAACTTTTTACCATGTCTTTATATATTCTTTCTTCTTTTGTTTGTTTCCAGTATAGGTTTTTCTCGGTAGCTTAAGTATTTATATGACTTTGAAATATTTTAATGAAAGAACATGATCTTACTCTCGGGTAATTTTTGCATGTTTAGTACTGCAATTTCGTAGATATACACGTTCCTGCATAAAAAAAAAAAAATTGAAATTATGCTTCTTCTTTTTTTTTTCTAGGAGGAAGTTTCGGTCGTTGCATCTTCCAACGGAAATATTCCTGATTGTTTCTAATGGTTTTTTCATAGAGAGAAAGGAAACGAAAGAGGAAAAAAAGATGATTAATTTTGTTAATTTGACTGATGGAGAAGATAAAAAAGTTATAAAACTCATATTATTATTATTATTTTCATTTAATCAATCAAATTATGCGTTTTTCAAAATATTCTTTTAATTTTTATATACTTGTACTCCATGAAACATTTAAATATTTTTTTTTCAATTTTTTTTCTTTTTATAATTTTATTTCTTTACTTAAAAGTAAGCATTAATGCGTTGTCTGAACAATGGGTCTAATCTAGTGAAAAAAAGAAGATATAGATAGAAACAGAATAGAGTGATATTATTTGAATTAAAAAATAAAAATATAAAAAAACACATGTAAAAAAATTATAATTGATTTGATTTATTTGATGCAATAAAAAAATTATATTGATTGAATAATGCAATGAATTAAATATAAAACATAAAGATAATTAAATATAAGATAATTATTTTTAAAATTTTGAATTAATCTTAAAAAAAATTACAAATCATATTCAATTTTTTTCATACTGAAAAAAAAGTATAATAAAAATTAAATTAAAAAGGAAAAAGTACACATTAAAGTCTTTTAATCAAAATTATTTATCTCATAGGATATGTTACATTCACAAAAATAGTATAAAGAATAATATTTTAAAACTCTAATATCATAGATAATTAACTGTTAATCATAATTTCAAATTGTATAAACGAAATCGTGTAATATGTGGAGAGGAAAAATAATAATAAATTATATAACATGTGACAAACATCCACGAAACTTATGTAAAATAAAATATTAGGATTGACATAGTTATGATTGGGTTTTGTAGGTGATTTTCGCGATTATTCAAGTTGATCAATATTATTAATTACATGCACATGAAGAAACAAATCGCACTTAACAATGACAAAAGGTGCACCGAATTCTATCAATGAAGATAAGGTTAGAAGATGTTACCTCAAAGTGGTGGCACGTAACTTGCAAATGGTGATTGTGGTACCTCTGGTAGGCTAGGAAAATAAGAACGTTGGTTCTCAACTCAACCTCTTCGATTGGAGAATTGCTCGCTGAAATTATGTGTGTGATTGAATGTAGTGAGAGTGTATGCTTGAATGCAAAACAGGCTTCAGTCTTGTGAATATAGCTATTTTGTGTGTGCTTTAGTTAATGGTGGTTGAAAGTTGAGAATTTTCAAAGAAAATTTGTCTATTTGTAACGATGGTAGTAATGAAAGCTAATTCACTTAGTGATACCTCATTGTGCAGTTATAACTCAAATCATAAATTCAAGGCAGTGTAGTAGTTGTGCAGAGAAAAATCCACGGAAAATTTTGGAGGTAGACTGAAGAATTTGAGAATCAATAACCCATTAAATTCAAACAAACAACAGGAAGAAATAGTGATGAAGATATGTTACATATCTTCTTCTCTTAGAATGATTTATAAAGTTTTGTCTGATGTAATTTGTTTTGCTAGAATATTTTTTTTATATTTTAAGCTTCGTAGGTGGGTTCAACTTATGATATCTAATTAAAATTTTAATTTGATTAACTCACATGGTATCAGTTTTAATAATTCTTCTGTTTTTATGGTTATTCTTATCATCTCATCAATCTGACTAATCTATTGTTTGTTCATCCCGGGAATAATCCTACTCTTCTTCTTATTTCTCACTCCCTAGTCGATAATAATTACTAGAATGAAAAAAAGACATGTTCATCGCTCTTAAAATCAAGAATAAACAAAAATTTGTTTTTGGTAATCTTCCTTGCTCACCACCCATCCATCCACTACATGATGTGTGGAAGCATTGCAACAAGAATGTGATTGTTTGACTTAAGCATTCCATGTCTCTTGACATCAAACAATCCATCATGTGATGGATTCTACGGGTGACATTTGGAACGATTTACATCAACGTTTTTCTCATGGAGACAAATTTCGTATAGCAAATCTTCAAGAAGATTTTCATAACTGTAAACAAGGTGACTCTACCGTTTCACAGTACTATACTAGGCTTCAAATACTCTGGAAAGAATTATCTCTATACAAAACAATTCTTATTTGTTTTTGTGTTTCTCCCTACACATGTGGTCTCATTACCAAGATTCAAAAGGAACGTGATGATGACTGCGTTATCAAATTCCTCTGAGGTCTCAATGAAGAATTCTCACAAGTTAGATCTCAAATCATAGTTATGGAACCCATGTCCTCCTTGATTAAGGCTTTTTCTCTGGTTCTTCAGCAAAATTGTGAATTCGGGTCCTCAATCCTTGCCTCTCAAGTTTCAGTTGCCAAAATCAATTTTCAAGATACTTCAAACAAAATTGTTCGTGGTGGTTATTCAAATTTTTGTGGTTGAGGAAGATCCAATAAGAATGGTGGCCGCAATACCAAGTATTGTAATAATTGCCAATGCACTAATCATACTTCAGGAAATTGTTGGATCAAACATGGTCTACCACGAGATTATAATCTTAACAAGAGAAAATTCAATCTTCCTAAACCTTCTGCTAGCGTGGTTGATTTTGTTCCCACTACTGTTATGGATTCTTTTATCGTGGCAAATGAATACAGTAATGTCTAATTTGGTTTTTATAAGGAGCAAATTATAACTCTTCTTGCCTTAATCCAACCTTCACAACAAACACCTTCCAATACCACTACCTGTTATTAATCAATGTACTAATAATAATTCAGGTCATTCTTTACCCTCCTCCTCTTGGATTCTGGATAGTGGAGTCACGAATCACATTTGTCCTTTCAATATCTAAAAACTATTTCCCTTATATCCATATGTTTACCCAACAATATGTCACCGCTTGTCTTTCAAGAACTATAATTTTCGATGATATTATTCTTCAAGATACACTATATGTTCCTGGTTTTATTGTTTCTTCGCTATCTATCCCTAAACTCATTGCTTCCACTAATTATCTTGTCATTTTTCATAAAAAACAATGCTCAATTTTGTAAACCAACACCTTCCGAATAATAGGAGTATTTAAATTGTATCATGGTCTTTTTTATCTCAGTAATAGCTGCAATATGAATGTATTAGATTCAACAAATTTTTCAACTTGTTCTATTTTTAATAATCATACTGATTCTTGTATTTTGTGGCACATGAAACTTGGTCATCCTTCAAATAAGGTTTTACAACTTCTTGCTTCTCAATATTCTGAAATCAATTCATCTTATATTATTGCTTGTGCTTATACCAAACAAAAGTGTTTCTCGTACATTACTAAAATAACTAAATCCAATCATTTTTTTGAACTTATTCACATTGGCATATGGGGATCTCTTTTCATTACTTCTCTTGATGGTTATATGTATTTTTTAACCATTATTGATGATTATAGTAATTTCACATGGATTCTTTTACTTAAATCTAAATATGATGTTCGCACTACTTTTCAAAATTTCATCACTCTCATTGAAAATTAATTTGCTTGTAAACTTAAGAGGGTTAAATCAGACAATGAGAACAAATTTCTTCTCAATGAATTTTATAATTTCAAAGACATATTTCATGAAACTACATGTGTAACCTTTCTTTAACACAATGGTGTTGTTGAGAGGAAACATCAAGACCTTTTAAATGTGTATTTCTCTTTCCGTTAGACTTGCCTAACATTTTTTGGTCATACTCTCTAAGACTTGCAATGCATGTGATTAATCATCTTGCCACACCTTTTTTTATCTAATAAATCATCATATGAACTTGTTTATTCTATCAAACCTGATCTCTCAAAACCTTAAGGTTTTTGAATGTTTATCATATGCTAGCTCTCTTCTTGTTGAACGGACTAAATTGGATTCCAAAAGTATAAAATATGTTTTCCTTGGTTTTAAATCTTGAATCAAAGGTTATGTCTTATATGATATACAAGCCAAATATATTTATGTTTCTCGGCATGTCATTTTTCATGAAATGGTTTTCCCTTTCGCATCAAAATCATCGTATAATTATCTTGTTTTCACTGATTTCTACTCATCCAACAATGAAAATTTTGATTTTTCTTTGCCAATTTCACTTGTTACAAATCCATAACAACACAATGTGATTCCTACTATTATTTCTGATACATCTCAAATTGCAGCTCCTACTACAAGAGCTTCCACTCGTCTTAAAACCAGACTTGAATATCTTGACAATTATTACTGTGGTTCCGCTTCCAATTCTAATTCAAATTCTAATTTCTCTTTCTCTACTGTATATCATATCCATCGCTTCATTTCATATAATAATTACTCTCCTAATCACATTTCTTTTTGTCACAATAAATCTGTCCAAGATGCTCCATCCTCATACAAAGAAGCTGCTCAAAGTGATTGTTGGATAGAGACAATGGTTGCTGAATTAAATGCTCTTTATCAAAATCAAACCTGGACATTAATGACTCTTCCTCAAGGCAAGAAGACCATTGGCTGTAGATGAGTTTATAGGGTCAAACACAAAATTGAAAATTGATGGCTTGGTAGAAAGGTTTAAAGCTCAACTTGTTGTCAAGAGATTTACACAAACTGAAGGTATTGACTATTTTGAAACCTTCTCCCTTATTGTTAAACTTCCCACTGTTCACATATTTCTTGCTTTCTACTGCCAATTACTCGTTTATTCATCAATTAGATGTATATAATGTTTTCTTACATATTTAATACACATTGTCCAATGTCAAAGTCAAGTCACCATTGCGCTGTCTAAGACCCAGCTCAAAATACAAAGTACAATAATTTATTATGGGGACATTTTCGTCTTCATAATACAGTAAATGACATATAAATTCAAGTTTAATCTCATAAAAAATCTGTCTACTCATCTTGCCTATCGACACTCACATCCAATCTTTATGTTATTCTTCTTTTTACTCTTAAAATGGAGGAATTTGACATCACAAATATTCAAAATTTTGATAACTCTTATCTTGTAGTAGTGTTTGCAAATGGGAAAATCACAACAAATGAAGAAGGGGTGTATTTTCAATGTGCATCTCCCAGACTTATCTTAATTCCACACAGTTGCACATTTATCATTCTGAAGGAAAAAATATGCATGCCTTTAGGGATTCATGTAGGTACTGCAATCAACAGGTTGTATTACCGTCAACCAAGATTAACAAGTGATGATTTAATTATATATGATGCTTCTGGATTATTTTCTGATATTGATGTATCTAACATGATTACTTCGAAATCACAATTCTCTTTAGATACTATAATTGAATTATATGTTCAATATACAAGATCCATTGATGAAATAATGATGCTTTTAAACCCCCCTTTTTCTACTTCTTCTGCAAACTCAAACAACATCCCTTCCTCTGAAGCTATAATTTACTTTGGTGGGCTTGTTCAACGTGCAACCATCATGAAAAATCAAAATTGTTTTGTTCTTACTTATACATGTTTAAACCCTAGAACAATGGTAATACAACCTACATGGTCTTTTGCTCAACTATATGAAAACATTACTTATGTACTTCACTTCGCAAACAAATTACTGAAATCAACTACCGTTGTCCAGTTTGGGTGCGAAACCAAAAGATCATTCCGACTCAGTACAAATAAAAACTGATGTTGATATGACCCAAATGATCAACCGCTAGAAAAAAAAAACACAATATCTACACCTAACCGTGTAACGTGAATAAATATGGAAAAATATTGAATTATTTGTTCAAGCTAAGACTATACGAAGAGCAACATCTGACAAAATCATCCGTGACTTAAAAAAGGTAATACACACGTTGATAAATATTAGATAACAAGATATACCTTTGCTTCACGATTTATAATATAATTATTCAATAACCATTTATCTTATATTATTTTTAATTTAGTTGGGTTTCATATTGATATGTATTGTTTTAATTACGAACCATTAATCTATGATTTTTTAAATTTTATATTATGAATATAAATATCTATAAATACAAAAATATAAATATATATTAATTAAATATAAAAATATATGATTATATAGGTATAAAATCTATACAAAATATATATATATATATATATATATATATATATTAAATATACAAATACATGTATTTATTAAATATCTTATTATATATATATATATATATATATATATAAATATCTTATTATATAAATTCATATTTATTAAATTTATTTAAATATTAAATCTATAATATTGTAGTTTATTTATATTTTTCTAATTTTTTACATCAAAGTTATTATTAAATAAATATTATTCATATAATATCTTATATAAATTTATTTGTATTAATTATTCCTATAAATTATCATTTTTATCAATTTTTTTCTTTAACAAATTTATATTAAATAAAATTTAAATATTATATATATATATATATATATATATATATTAAATATATTTATATTTACTATATTTATAAAAATATATTAAACATATAATTATATAAATATATTTTTATGATCTAATTATATATAATATATATATATATATATTTATAAAATTATATATAAATATATTAAACATATAATTATACAATATATTTTTATTACATATAAAAGTATTTATTTATATTTATTATATATTATATTTAATAAAATTATAATATATATAATAAAATATAAATATATATTTATCATATTTATAAAATATATAAATATAATAAAAATATTTATATATAATTTTATATTAAAATTATTTTATATTATATTAATAAAAATGTATTTATCATATTTCTATAAAAAATATTATTTTTAGTTACTAAAGTTATTTTATATTAAAAATATATTTAAATAATATATATAATTTATTTATATAAAAATGTTTGCTAGAAAGATATAAATAAATATATATTTATAAAAATATAAATAAATTTTTAAATATTATTATATATATTAAATATATTTATATTTACTGTATTTATAAAAATATTTTAATAATATAATTATAAAAATATATTTTTATGTTATATAAAAAAATATATTTATATTTATTTCTCGTTTCTAGTGGAATTTCGATCGATTTCGACTCTTAAGATATTTTGATCCTAATCAAAATTCTACCACGTAAGTTCTTTTTACTTAGGCTAGCAAATTAATTTTCAATCGAGATGCGTATGAGGATCGAATTTTGCCCGATTTCAAAGATACTATTTTTGGTATTTTATATTTAAAGTGCTCAAAGTAAAGAAAGTAGAAAATTCGTGAAATCGAAAAGCAGTGCTGAACA